GCCAGTATATATTTTAAAAAGCAGACAAATCGGCCCGTAAATACGTTAGATATAAAACTTTTATTTTTTTTGTCGTGGTGGACCTTCCGCTGGAAACACCCATATCCTAACCTCAAAGTGCCAAAAACACGGTTTTTAGCAATATTTGAGGTTATATAATGAAAACATCAAATTATTTGCTTATTTCTAATTAGGGCATCATTTTCGTTTGATGCTATTCGATTTTTTTTCTCGAAATTTACCAGTTTTAATGTGCAGTACTACAAAGCATCCTTTGATTAAAAAAAAAATTGGTGCTTTTAGTGTGTGTTTTTTTCAAGTTTTTGGTGCTTTTTGAAAATAAAATCAGAATTTGAAAATAAAATCAAAAGATGGCAACACTGCACTTATGTCTCTTTTTATGCGTTCCTCAGAAAGCCGCATAAAAAAGATATTTACTTTCATACAAAAACAGGGGATGCGTTTCAGCATTTTCAAAAACGGCATAAATTCAGATACTCCATGTAAAAAATTCTGAAAAACTGCATACAAAAATCCAGTGCGGCAATATTAAGCAAAAAAAAAAACAAAAAAACAAAAATTTATTTCTTCACTTCAACACTTATTATTCCATGTAAAACTGAACATTAATGAAATAAATATAATCTTGTCTGTATTTTAATCAAAAAAAAAATAAAATACCACAATAAATACATGAATTATGTAAAAATACAAAGACGAACTATTTATCAGAAGCATTGTCTCTTACACACAAAGGCATAAAAACACTCAAAAAATGGTTTGAAAAACCGCATAAATTCAAATCCGCATAAAAAAACGCTTAAAAAGATACCTAAGTGTACTATGAAATTTACTTAGTTGGTCTCTCCGAACAAAAATTAGCCGGAATTATTTCCTTTGATTATTTGTTTAGACTAAAAACTAATATTGTGTAAGATTATTGCGATACATACGTGTACGGTAAATTTTCTATAAACAAAGGGCAAGCTTCTGACAGTAACTAACAAAATTTTATCTAATAAACAATTGGACTTTATTCAAGCTTTAAGATTTCGGCCTAGTTCGCATAATTAGAGTAAATGGAAAGGATTAAATAAAAATTTGTTTACCTTCATTGCTGAATAACTGAGTGAGAGATGGTTTGGAACTGTGGCCAATTGTGAGAATCATTTGCCTCCTCTACATCATTGCATCCACAAAAAACTTCAGAAGAGTTGTCCGGAGATTGTGTCAGACTCGACAAAGCCTTAGGGTGACTCAAAAAAAGTTTAAAAGGTTAAGCTCTCACCCCTAGAGTTTTTCTTGTTTAAAAAAAATATATATTTAGCACTGTCTCAAAGTCCATTAAGTTTTCCATGTACATATTTTATACGGGAAAACGCTCTTTCTTAGAAGTAGAATTCTTGAAAGTCAATATTTTTCGATCGGAAAACTCTGTTTTTCTTCAGGAGATTTGCAATACTCATACCCAGTTGTTTATTTTACCATTTTTGAATACCAGCGATTTTTTATGGATCCTCCCACTGCGTTTTTGGGGGTTTGGGGTGCCTAGAAACGATAGTTAGGATTAAAAAAAAGGTTAAAAAAACAAATAGTTATTATTACTGGAAGTGTTTTTTAAAGAGAAACAGAGTTGTCCGATCGAAAAATATTGATTTTCAAGAGTTCTATACCATTTCTAAAAAAACGTACTCTTAAAAATACATAGGCTTTGAATAGGTTCTAAAATTTTAAAGTTTGACCCCTGCATTTATTTTTGGACCACCCTACTGAGCAATGTTTGAGGAGCCATTAACTTATTACTTTAATAAGCTCTCTCGAAATTAATTTTGCACAGGAAAAGTGATATTTGGATATTCTGTGAAATTATTTTAAAACACAAAAGCTTACTGAATTTGAACCAAAGTAGAAGTTAAGAACCAACATCTTTTCAAATTGTTAATACAAAGTAGTATCACATAATAGAAGAAAATCTGTAAGAGTATCACTGGTATTTGTCTTTTATGCATCCTATGTAGGTATGTACATAAGTACACCCCGCTTCGCTTGAATAGGTACAAATTTTTTCCTCTGATCTGAGGTTATGTCTGGATTTGTGGGCGGCGGAGAAGTTTCTTTTTGATCTGATTTCGAAGAATGATCAAGTTCAAAGAAAAGTGGTGAAAATGGTGTAGTAGTAAAATTGATGCCCTTTTTTGCAGCGACCCAGAATAGTAACTATTTCATGGTGGAGTTTCAAAAGAGTCATCCAAATTTTCGTAAGAGTTATGAAAGTCTTTTGCTAATAATTATGTGTGAGACATTTTTTTTAAGTCATCGATAACTATTATTTTAAGACTTATATAATAGAAGCTTTTCATAATAATTATCAGCGAGATAAATATTTTTAAGTCTTCAAAGACTTTTGTTTTGAGGCCTATATTATAAAAGTCTTTTGATTATAATTATGAGTGCCAAACAATTTTTCATATAGTCCCGAGCGGGTCCTAAACCAAATTCAATTGTATTACTAATTAGTAATTTTTTTTGTAAACATTTTTTTTATAAGAAAAAATTGGTATTTTTTCATTTTAAGTATTTTTTCTCAAATTTTTATATACGAAGTGTAAAATTATGCATGTTAGACGATAATCGCCTTAACAGCGATGCCAATTTTTTAAAAATTGGTGAGTATTTTTTTTTTTGTTTAAAATCTTTTTGATAAAAACAGTTATTTTTTCCTTTTAATTGTTTTTTCCCAAATTTGTATTCACGAAGCATGCAAATATGCATATCAAAAGAAAGAAGGTTTGATCGGCTTTACAACGACATGCATTCTTTTAAAAATCGTTTAGTAATTTTTTTGTTAAAAATTTTTTTTATACAAGAAAAGGTAGTTTTTCCTTTAAATGTGTTTTTTCTCAAATTATTATACACGAAGTATACAAATTTTCATATCAAAAGAAAGGTGGTTAAATCACCTTTAGAACGATATGAATCTTTTAAAAATCATTTCAAAAGTTTCTGAAATATTAAGTTTATAATTTTTCGAAGATCTGACTTATGACCCGTTATAGCACCTGTAATATATGTTTTCACAAAAAAGTTATATACGATATAAATTCGAGAAAAAGGCGGACCACGTCTGTATTTTTACTTTTTTTCTTTTTACATGCAATAGTTAAAAATAAGTGTTTACCAAAGGTAAAAATTCGAACTTCGAAGGCCCATATCTGGATCTCGGAGGCCAACTTCGAAAAATGGAGAAATCACTTTTTTACTTATGACTCAATCTCTTAAAAAAAGTTAGTTTGGTCCAATTCCCTGCCGAGTGCCGTACAGCGCAATTATTATGAAAATACTTTTATAAAATAAGTCTTAAAATAACAGTCTTTGAAGACTTACAAATATTTATCTCTCTGATGATTATTATGAAATAAATTTTATAATATTATGGCCTTATTCATAAAAAATAAAGTAGCTTTATAAAAGGTTTATAAATTAAAAAATGTATGAAAACGTCAATTTATAAAGCTCTTTAAACCTACTTTATTTTTTATGAATAAGGCCATTAGTATATAAATATTCATTATAGATGACTCGAAAAATATATATGTATCTTAACATATTGATTATTGATTGGCTTTTATGCTTTTCTCTTATAATAGTTATGTCTGTGCTTTTTTGAGATTTTCTGAACACAGGTGTACATATAGAGCAATCCGTAGTTCTATTGTGGTATCGTCAATACCAACACCATTCATACATTTTTTGCAGTTGAAGGTGTGTCTGCTTCGCCCATTCTTGCTCTTTTATAGTCCTTTAAATTATTAAAAAGGTTTTAAGTGCCCCCAAGATCAGATATAAACTTGGATCTTGAGGAAAAAATGTGCACCTATTCAAGTAAAGCGGAGTGTATGTACGTCCAAACATGACTAGATATTTAGCTACATATTTCTTCCGAACTCACATGCTTGCCATGTAGAATGCTCTGTGTTTTGTTAAAGTTGAATAAAGTTCGGCAAGGTCAGCATGTGTGATGGTGCAGACTAACTGCTGTTGCCAAGGCAGGTATGTGTGCAGGAATGTTGTGCTATTACATTTTTTCAAATAGGTTAGCACAAGAAAATCAAATGCTCAAACGTTTTTGATCGAAAGTAGAAAAGGCAAACTTATTTTTGGTGCTTTTTGTTTGTTAATTAATTAGCAACTTTCTGTGTATTATGTATTGTATGTAGGTAAGGTCGTTGTATGTTACGTATCAGCATGTGTACACTTTGCTATGAATGAAGTTACAAAAGGCAGAAAATCATTTAAGCATTTCTATGAAAAATTAGTACACAATGAGAGTATTAACAGCGTTAAATTTCTAAATAAATATACACATTATATGTATGTACGTAGGTGTATTCTTTACTTTACCACCCACACATGGCTCTATTGCGCTGGTCGCTTGCACCAAGGTGCTTAATCTTATTTGCCGCCTATTATTCTTAATTTGTTATTACATTCGGGTACATTTCGATGCGTTCTACTTGTTATCATTATAAGTAATGGCAAATTGGTATACAATCTTATTATAAACCCATACACCCGGCATCTATATTACTTACTAATAGCAATTGATACCTTGGCTGCAGTCTCTGGGAATTCCACTCTGCATGGAAATATTCCATTTTAAGCTCGACCCGCATACGCTACATACATATGTACTTACATACCCATGCACTCCAGCAGGTATGTAAAAGCAAATTATTGTGCTGCCGGTGTTGTGGCAATTTAATTTGCTGCTAATGTTCTTAATGCCGACGGAATCTCCAATACATCTATATTGGGGTGCATTGCATGCTCCCTAATTCTGTACATCAAATTCTTTAAGACTCTCTCTCATTTAGCAACCCTTAGTTTGGGGGTAGGCTATGTATACAATATTCAATAATATTTAATACAACAGAGACCCCGCAATATAAGGAAGTATACATTGATAGCTTATTTTATTTTCGTTTTATCACATTTTTCAGCTACAACAACGGAAATTGAAAACGATGATAACACGGACAATGCTCAGTTCATTGAAGGCGAAGAAGAAGAAGAATATGATGACGAAGAGAACGAGGAATGTCCAGGTAAGTGTTTTTTTTTTTTCATTTTCCTGTCTTTATCAATCCTAAGTAGGGGTGTGAACGGCGCTAGCCATTTAAATTCGCGTAGTTGCTATGAATTTAAAGTATTTACTCCTCCGCACTTTTTATTTTTCTTTGTAGATGAAATACTCGTCGAGAAGCCATTTAAATTTGAGGACTTTGCTAAAAGGTGAGTGCAACTTTATAGAACCGACTATTGAATAGGAATAATTTTAATGAAATTAAATAGCGTAAGATAAGAAATCAATTCTTCTAGTATTGATTAACTCAGCGGCAGGGAAGGACCAAAATAACGCGCATTCACACAAAGTTTGTTTATTAAAGTTAAAAATTGTCGGGTAGGCACTGTGGCCAATGCAAGTCATCAGCTACCATCGCTGCATGGTTGTAGGTCATGAAGAGTTCCTAAAACTTGTAGCATTTTGGCTTTCGGAAAGCTCAAGAGGAGTTTTTGATAGATGCATCAAATAATTTGAGCTTTGTTTAAGATTTCACAATCTTATTGTTACAATAAGTTCGGTCATTTAGTGTTTGATCTTCACCATTGAACAGAAACTGAACGGAAGGCTTGTTGGTGCGAAAATGAAAAATTTAACACGCACGTATTTGAATGTTTACATCCGAGTATCTGTTTTAAGTGTACATACATATGCATACCAAGCACGCAAAGCGTACAAATCGCGTGCTCTGGAGTTGATGGAAATTCAACATTTGAACGAACAAAGATGCTTGACACAATTTGTTGATATCATCTAGAGAGGGTCAGGGTTCGAATTCCATTGTAGGCACACACAAATTAATTTTTTTTTTATTCAAAAATTTTTATTGAGCCGTTTTCAATGAAAAACTTATTGTGGAAAAGCAACAATAATTTGAAAAAATGGTTGAAGTAATAGTGATAGCTATGTATTTCGGAAATCACAACATTTCCTCATCAGACTTCTTTCAGTAGGTTTTTTTTTTTGTTTTTATCTGGACTATTCACTTAGCGGATGCTTTTTCAAAACGAACGCGGTAATTTTAATATGCGCGTAATTGAATTGAATATTTACCAATATACAGTACTTTCGTTGACGTTTATAGTAAGATCAATTAAGTTTCTATTTGATTTTAATATATTTTTCTCTCAGTGTAGAGATTCAAGATTTGTGAGTTTAAAAAAAAAAAAGAGAAAATAGTCAAAGATTTAAAGTACAAGTTTTTCATATAATGAAAGTAGTTCGAGGTTTTTCTCTTTTTTATACTTGTAAAATAAACATTTCTAAAAGAAATGTATTCTTTGATTACTTTTCGGTTTTTGTCTTTTTAGTGCCTTCTGTTGCCCTTTTTTGTGTATTCTAGTGCATTTTCCTGCCTATTTTCTATTTTATTTTGCCTTTTCTAGCCTATTTCGTTATTGTATTTTGCCTTTTTTTATAGGTTTTTATGTCCTAAAAATCCGTTCTCTGTTTATAAGTATAAATAAATGGACTACCGAGCTTAAAGTAGTACCTGTTTGTAAGAGCTTCGCCTCCGCCTTCTTCAATGTCTCTAATTTAGTATTGAGTTTATTTCAAAAATCCCATTAGAGACATTAGTAATGCAAGAACCAAATTACATCCTACAAGGAAATTAAATTACAGAGCAAATTTTAGAATTCCCCTCGTATTTGACACCCTTATTCAACCAAATACCGTTTTTGTGATATGTATGTGAGAAGTATTTACTTTCAATTGGAGTAATGCTCATTTCGTCTTTCTGCTTCATACTTATGAAATCGGCACCATATGCTTCCGGCCAACTTTAATCTGCGTCATTAAATACTTTAATTTTATACGCCACTTATCTGTGTAGAGTAGAGTAGAATTAGAGTCAAATAACTAGAAAGCCCCATACTACAAATTTAGTATCCATTTAAAACTCGTAACACAAAAAAAAAGGCAGAGGCTTAGTTTCGTTCTTTTCTTTGCTTACAAAAGCAATTATGTGGCAAATTAAAAAGAGAAGCAATCCTAACTGGAGGGGAAAAATTCCAATATAGGCAATAAAACAGCTAAAAAATGCGTACAGCTTGCACCAACATGAAATACCCAAATAAAAAAAAATAAACAGAATGGCGTAAAAAAACACAAGTTAAGTAATTTATAGTATTTGCCCGCATGCCGGGAGTCAAATTTGAGCAGCGAAAAGAAAAAGGGTTGGCATTGAATTTACCAGCAAGGGTTTTGACTGGCCACCATGCTAGTAGTGAAAGTGAAAGTGAAAGTATATGTACTAAGGCGGGTTGATTTGTATGGATGAAAAAAAGTTAAAAGTCGTGTAGCAAAAACGTAATCTACATTAAATTCTAAGAAAATTCTCTGAAGAAACCATGGGTCTAATATCAAACCCTAATCCACGCCTCACGACTTGAAAATTTTTTTCCACTTCTTTCGCTACAATTATTTTCTTTTTTTGAAATATATTATGTTTTATTATATTATATTATAGTTTATGCAATACAGGTTTTGTTTTGAGACTAATCAAAATATTCAATTATCAAAAAAGCAGTTGAACCCCAATTTGCATCTCCTCTGATTTGCGTACTTGGGTGAATATTTTTTTTAATGAAAAAAAATTTCAAGTGTAGAAAAAATATAAAGTGCAAAAGAACAGAACTACCTTACTAAACAATTTTATTCAGAAAATTCGATTTCTTTTTGGAAAAACCTATTTTTTCCAACATTTATTTTTTTGGCAAAGGCGGCCATATAAATTTTCAAGTCGAGAGGCGCGGATTAGGATTTTATTTTAGATACATGGTTTCTTCGGAGAATTTTCTTAGAATTTTATGTAGTTTACGTTTTTGCTATATGATTTAAAAAAAAAAATCAATCCGCCCTAATAGAATATACATATGCATATGTAAGTATGCCATTGCGTAGAATGGTTGTCTTTCTTGAGCCGTTTTTTTGGAAAGATTTCACTGGTTTTAAGAGTTAACGGACTTATTTAGTGTTTTTATGTACACCACTGCGTTATATGTACCTCTTTTCCTTTGTTTGTGTTCTTTTTATTGTTGTTGTTGTGGTCGCTTCGCGCTATCGCTAATTACGTGGGCGGCAACTTGCGCGGTCGTAAAAGGATTTAAAATGGTACATTTCGACTTGCCGAAATCAAAAGTGAAAGTTTATTTGCTGCCGCATTTCAGCCGCTTCGTTTTAATTTCTTCCCTTTTTATGTATATACATACGTATTTCGTTTCAGGGAATAAAAATACCAAAATTAAATTACCGTAGTGAAATTAAATTCCACCGGACTTATTTTATTTCCTACGACAACATAATGAGCTTACGGCACATTCCATTCGTTTGCTGTGTAGTCACGGGTACACCTACTCGTACTGCTACGGCGGGGAATGCAGTCAGCTTTTAGGCGGCTCGCGCACATTCACGAAATGAATGAGTTAATTACAAAAGAAAAATGGGTTTTAATTTGATTTGTAGGCAAACGAGCTTCGGTGCCACGGTGGGGTGTGAGTAAGCTTGAGTATTCGGCTGTTTTAATGGCGCCGCGTCGTGCTGTGAAATGCCGGAAAATGCGGTAATTATTTGGCCGAGAGCACATGCGGCCCTTACTTATTATAGCCTTTGTGACTTTAGACTTTAAGTCCAACGGCTCGTTTGACTTATTTTTAATTCGTAGTCTTTTTGCATCAGCGCGCTTTAGTGGCAATTCAGCGTTTCGCAATAGCGCGCTTGAGCAATTAACTTTCTTAATTTTGTCAGCTCAAAATCTGCACCTTTTTATTGTGAATTTTTTTGCAAATTTATGGCATTAAGAAACAAAAACCCAAAAACGGGGGGAAAAACGTTCACCGGATTCACGCGTTGTATAACGGCAATCGTTTTCAAAGTCAAGTAAATAATAGTTTCCCTTTCCTTTGGTTTCCAGACTTTATATATTTGCCTTCTGTAATGTCACTTTCTTGCATTCCTTTTTTGCAAACAATTCGCATTCACTCTAGGTATAAGCTTGCCCTTTGCTTGTAAGACAGACCTTCAGCTAAAGCACAGAAAGTGAATATTTGTACTTGCTTGATTTTTCCGCAATTGCATCACTCTCCACATTCAAAGTCTATTTTTTTCGTCATCATTTTTTAATCTCGTTTTTAATTTCATCTTTCCCATTCTGTCTGTTTTCCTATTACAAAGATTGTGCAAACAATTACTGCTCTGTCTCTGCATGGCCATCCAGCTAGTTTGCCGTCGTTTTAATTAAGGATCCTTCATCCTCCATAGCGCATTGGTGCGGATATCCTTCATTACGTTTAGTCAATTCGTTCTTTCCAATGCATGCACGCCAGAGCAACAACACAATCAGCCGTCACAGCAGTTTTTTTTTTTTGTTTCTCCGTTGACATTTTCTCTTTCGCTGCTTTTGGACCTTGGATACATGTATGTATATGTAAGTATGCTTATATTTGCACTAAACAAAGGCGTATATAGTGAGGTTCGTAAGTAACCAGTAACGATAATGGTTAAATATTATTTTCGAAAAAATAATCAGTTGTTTAACAACGAAAGATGACAAATTAATAAAAGTGAAGCCTCAGTTAGCTTTAATGTGCGAAAGCCATCTGTGAAGTCATTTTCCCATTGGATATTTTACTTGAGCGGTAATGATCTGTCATAAGCTACTCAGTCTTAAAGATGTTTCAATATTTGTTAGGTAAAAAGATGCAAGCCAAAAAAAAACGTTTTACAGACAGCATGCAACAACGTTGGAAACTGGTCCGTTTATAGTGTTTTGCTTTCCAGATTCAATCAAATTAGCAAATCCTGAGGCTCCAATAGCACAAAATTTGTATAGCCTCATATGTGCGGCTTGTTGGGGTTGTAACGCTTAAAAATATTTCATGCTTTAGTTGAACAAATTTCTTCATCAACACATAAATGTTGCTTCAGCGGTACTTTGGCGAAATAATCATTTAAAAATTTCAATACAGGACTATCTATTATAATCTTCGTGGTTGAAACGTACGCTTTTTTCAAATTTTTTCAAAGGCAGGGTATTTTGTATGCACTTTATGCCTGCTTCCTGGGCCCAGTACATATACAAGTAGTAAAGTGCGATAGTTTAATTATTGACATATAGCATATAATGCTTACAGATCTTTTAATATCTAGGTTTGCAATTATACCACTGGAA